AAAGCAAGGACTAATTTAACAAAAAATATTTCACGAGATATCTCCTAATTCTGAACTCATGAAACTCAAGAAATTATTGAAATTTAGGTAACAGATCAAGCCTAGCGGTTCAAATGAAACTGATATTAGGACATTTTGCTTAAAGAGAAATTTTCAACTATTGTGGTAGTGTCTGACATTGAGAAATTCAGGATACAAAAATGTCATGAGGGGTGATAAATATACGATAAAACCTTTTCTGTGGATTTTGTAAATACAGGTGCCACAACAGGTGTAGAAAGAACCGAAATCGAAATTCACACTCTATCACGTGTTTATTGACTTCTAAGAGTTCTAAACTCATGGCATTGGATCACTGTTGATATTATGTGAAAAATATGCTGTCAAAATAACAATGACAATAAAATAATCCTATTAAATACAGGCGCTAACTCAGTAGGGCTTCACCTATGTATGATTCTTATTGTTTTTTTTAAAAGTTGAACAAAAGTCAATCGATTCTCATACGCAAAGGTGCCATTGGTCTATTTATGATCGGTCGTTTTCGGTACAGAGGAATCAAAAGAAATAATGGATAAAATTAACTTTTGTTTAATCTCTGGCAAAATTTCATGCAATGCACAAAGTACGGGTGATAGTGAAAAGAGCATCAATACTTCAACTCACGGCACACAAACAAAAACGGCAGCATCTACGCTCTAGTTAATTGCTTCTTGAACAAAGGAATAGATTTAACTGAATACCTCGAAGAGTTCTGGGTGTGGGTGTGTGGGAGGTTGGAAAGAATATAACCAGATCGACACCCACACCCCATATGATTCAGTTACGAAGTCAAATAAAAGATGTCCTACATTTGAAACTAAGACAACAAATTCAAAGATTTTTTATGAGAATGAAGAACAAGAATATGAAAGTAACAAGCAATGTAATAAAACATCATAGCCTCTGAATCTTTTGTTTTTTCTTTTATTTTAGATTTTGAAAGTGAACATAATTTTGATGATGATGATGGTGATGGTGATGAAAGTGAAGAGGAAGAATTTTCTAATCGTCTGATGACGAATGAATCAACAGAAGCTCAAGATGAACCTGACAACGCTGACGACACTAATATTCAAAACATACAACAGTATTACCATCTGTTAGCTCTCGTAAGGGGATATGTGTAGCAATAGTAGAACCGATATTTAATCTGTCAAAAATGGAGAGCTAAACATGTTTTATTATCGACTTCATTGTCGTTTCACATACGAATATATTGAACATGGAGCTATCAATACAAGTTGATATCAAGCAGAGCGTAATAGCGAAAAAGAACGAACAGCACGATCACGAGATCAATGATGGAAGAGATTACGTAACAAATCACAATAGAGATTAAAGAAATAGATAATATAAGGATAAACGTTTAGCGTCAGTGAGTGTCATCTACTAACGCTAACACCATCGACAAAACAATCATAAACGTAAGAAAAATATATTTGTTATGAGAACTTCTCCTATGAACTGAAATTCTTTATTTTTTTTTACAAAAATCACATGTTTAAAAATATATAAAAAAATGTATCATGTTATAGACAGTTTCTTGAGCAGGCCGTCTAAACTTTAAACAGTGTTTAAGCAATGCTAGAAAAAATAATATTTTAAATACTCTTAAAGAATTCTTTTGTCTGTCTACAATGTTATTTTATTTTAGCAATGATTGTTGATAATAAGTCTAAAGCAAAAGCTAAACGAAAAATGGTACATCAGCAGAGGAACTTTCAATCAGAATTTAATCAATTACGTACAGGTATGTTAATAGGAATTTTTTATTAGATTATGTAAGGAGTACCCTTTTTTATTTTCCTTCAAACATAGAATGAACTGGTGTTTAAAATAAAATCTATTTTATTTTCAGGCAAAACAGGCATAATCTGATATTAATCATTATCCTCGTTTCCTTACCTTTTTGTAAAACTTCTTTAATCAAAAAATCATATATTTTCAGATTTTGTGGATGCCATTTCTAAATTATCTGATCGAATTGATGATCATCATGACCAATTTCAAAGACAATTTAAGTCGTTTTCAAAAGCAATTCAACAAACAACAGTAACATTAATACAACTTTATTGACAGATGAGTTCCTTAATTTATTTTTTTTAGATTAATTCTACATTAGAAAAGTATCAACGTGATGGTGAAATATTTGGTTCCATTGTTGTAAGTAAACTTCTTTTTTTTTTATTTGAATTCTTTGTTTCATATGTTAAGGAATACAATGGCCAAACTTTATTGGATATTCATGATGCTGGTGATTGCGGTCGTTTTGCTCGTACAGTTCTTAAAAATTTGTTCACTCCAGCTGAAATGAGCCGATCAGTTTTATATTCTAATTCAGTTTATGCTAAGCCAAGTCTTGATCCAATTCGTACGAAAAAGTTTAAAGATAAGCCTATAGTTTTCTTCATACCTAGCTAAACGATAGATGTCTTCTTTTTTCTTATATAATGTTCATTGATAATACTTTTTATCTCATTTTTGTTTTAGATGCATTGCGAGCTCAATTTCGCATCAGTGAATCATACTGAAATGAATTTTTTAAATGTTGTCTTCAACGATCATTAACTCAATTGTTGTGTGATGTGCGACGCAAATACGAACGTGAACAACAACAAACACATCAAGTTCAACAACAAGAAAATGATTCATCATCAGAAAATGACTATTAAAATTGTAGTTTTTATAGTAATTTGTTTTATACATGTATATATGTATCATAAGCTATTCTAATTACTCATATATGTATTAATAAAACAGATTTGAAACGAAGGTAAATCAGTCCGTTGAAAGAGCTCAATATAGCGTGGCGAAGAGTGCAAAAATCCCAATTACTACAAATCAATGCAATTCAAGAAAGTATGCACTTAATTTAAAAAATATTTTATTTTATACTAGATAATATTTTCGACCAAACAAAATAAAACTAAGTATTTAATTTCAATTGTCTATGTATTTTTATCTTAGATAATATCGACGATTAGACCAAATAGAGTGAGTATTCATTTTATTTAAATTTTCTTTGTTTTTATTTTAGATGATGTCCACGCTCAACGCAAAAAAATTAGAATTTATTCAATTTAAATTGTTTTCTTTTATTGAAGAAAATATCAACGCTTTATTCATATAAAGTCAGTGCTTATTTTATTTTAATTGTTGTTTTTATCTTACATGATATCGACGATCAATTCAAATAAAGTGAGTATGTTTTTTATTTTAAATGTATTTTTTTATTTTAGATAATATCAACCATTAGACAAAATAAAGTAAGCATTTATTTAACTTCAATTGGTTTTTTTTCTTTAGATGATATGAACGATTAGACCAAATAAAGTGAATCTTCATTTAATTTAGATTGTCTTTGTTTTTATTTTAGATGATGTCAACGATCAATGCAAAAATTAAGTATTTATGTAATTTAAACTCTCTATTAATTTTTATTTTAGATGATATTGACGATTAGACGAAACAAGGAAATTGTTTATATACTTTTAATTGTTTTTTTACATGATACTGATGCTTTATCCAAATGAAGTGAGTATTTATTTTTAATTATCTATTCTTTTTTATTTTATATATTATTGACGATAAGACCAAACGAAATAGTTATTTATTTATTGTAAATTGTTTTTTTATTTTACGTGATATTAATGCTGTATCGAAATTAAGTGAGTATTTTTTTTATTTAAATTATCTATTTACTTGTATTTTAGATAGTGTTGACGATTAGACGAATCAAAGTAAGCATTTATTTGATAAAGAATTACATTTGATGCATTTATGTGTGCATAGGTGCATCAAATGAAATGAATAATTAAAATGTAACTTTAATTATTTTTTTTTGATGGGTGTGGGTGTGTGGGTATGGGTGTGGGTGGGGCGTCGGTGGGTGTGGGTTTGGACGAAGAAAATATGACACCCACACCCGCCCCCACCCCCACCCCCCCCCCAACCCCCCNTGTTGCTAAATGATGATAGAAATTTTTGAATCAATTCAATGATGGCATTCAATCACATAGAATTCCTGTCTACGTTGATCAATGTCTTGTTTTTGTATATTTTGCTCGTGTCATGTATCCGTGAAAAAAAAAGAGTCAAGATATTTTAGTAAAATCGGTTATCTTTTTATCAAGAATGAATTAAAATGATACTAACGGGTGAGGAAGAAATAATGGTCGCGCTTTGCATATCACTTTTGAGTTATTTAATACGAGGTATTAAGAAAAGAAATTATACCAAAATATGCAGCGTGAAAAGCCCTACAATTTGCATAAATCAGCTTTTTTCCTGGTTGTCCTTTTGGCTTTCAAAAAGTCAAATTTTTGAGCGATCACATATTGACCATGCGAAAACGATGCTTTTTCTTACAAAAGGAATTTGTGTTTTCTTCTTATTTCACCTTTTTATCGTCTCAAATAGTTTACTTTAAAAAAATATACCAGTAGATGCAGCGTGAAAACCTCTATAATTTATATAAAAGAGCTTTTCTTATAGTTGCACTTTTGGGTTCAAAAGGGACTAAACTCGAAGCAACCAAATGCCGACGCTGCAAACAAGATATTTTTTGGTACATGACGACTTCTTTTTTTATTTCATCTTTTGTCGGTCTTGAAAACGAAAAGTGCAAATGTAAGAAAAACTATATTATGTAAATTGTAGAGCTTTTCATACTGCATCTTTTGGTATAATTTCTGGTCTTAATACCATGTATTAAGTGACTCAAAAGTGATATACAAAACGCGACCATTGTTTCTGCCTCACCCGTTATTTCTACTCAATTACAATATGATTTTTAGCCAATAATTCTGGATTTCTTCCATTGATACGAATTTTTTAGTTTTTTTTAATTAATTAAAAACATTTGCCAATTCTAAATACTTAAAATTTATAAATGAATTTTAAATGATTAGAAAGATTTGAAAATAATCTTGAAAATTAGAAAAAATGAAGACATAGTCTAATAATCAGATTAGAATCGGATAAAAATAGTATCGTTTTCCTCGAATTTAAACGGCTTTATAATCGTTTTTTTGTCTGGATAATATTCTTTTGAAGTTATCTGAAAAAGATATCTGTACTAAGCATAAAAACACACCAAATTTTTCATTAAATTATCAACCCATCCCGTAGTCGGGTTCAATTCATATGCCCTCAGGGCGCCCTGCCCTGCCCGATCCTGCCCTGAGGGCAGGTCAGGGCAAAAGAAAATTATATGTGCTATTGTCAGGGCAGGACAGGGCAAGATGTGACAGGGCAACAGCACAGGACAGAGCAAAAAAAAGTGCCCTGTGACGGTCTCTGATCTGGGCAATAGTACCATAATAAATCTTATAGTATCCTAATTTCCAGGTATAGACCACTGCAACTCTAGTTCTTTTTTGATACTTTTAAAGTGGATGAGTTCTCATAGTGCTGAAATATGCTTCCTTTTAGTTGCTTAATTGTCATAGAAAATGTTTCGTCTTCGATTCAACACATTTTATGGCAATGTTTGGCATCGATCAAATTTTTGTGATTCGACTCATCTATTTTTTGGCACCAGCTGATCCAAGGCGAACATTTAAGTGGACTATTTAGAAAATCGAATTTTTTAGGAAAACATCAAAATTGAGTTTCTATCATAGAAAAGATACGTCGAAACTTTCTGTTTAATAAATCTATTGAACTTGTCGGAAAACAACCAGATTTTAGTAGATTCATTAGGAGGAGATTCAAGTCTTACTATTGTTATGTTCAAGAAATTTCCGTGTCTTTTTTAATTTTTTTTCTAAAAATATGGTTTTTATTCAAAAAAATCGAAACTTACTATACATGGTTCAAGATATTATCAAGTTGTTTGTTTTTGTTTTAAAGCTCCAAATGAGAGTAAACTATAATCAGACCACACTTTCTTAAATTTGATTAATATGTTGATAAAATTGAGTTTTTCGATATTTAATGTTAACATGAAGTCGATTTCCTCTACGAGCTTGATCATTCATTTTTTTGAAAAGTTAGTTTTTAAGAGCCATTACATGTAAGCCACGATCTAACCTGCTCAATCGAGTTTTCTCGATTTGACTGATTTTCATATATATGATACAGGATACTGTTTGATGAATTTTGACGCAAATCCCATCAAAAAATATTGAACCGTCATTGTTTTATCGAACTTTTTCAAAAAGTCCTAAATTTCGATACCATAAAAACTAGGCCCAGTATTACGGTTATAACTCAACAATGGTTCAATGTATTGAGCTGATACTTTGTACAGTCGCTAATAGTGATTAATGCTATCTGTGATAAAAAAATCACCTCGATTAGTTGTGTCCTTTGTTTCCTGTAGATATCATAAAGAGCCAGAAAAATGCTAATTTTAGCTGACTTTGTGATTCGATATCTGGTGACTGATGCATGATGAATTCCTAAAATTATTTTAGTAAAAACATCTTAGTGGTATCTCACTTCTGTGAAAATTTCAGCCTTCTAAGTCAAAGCGCTCCTTTGTGGAAATCTTGGCAAAATCCAGGTTTTTGCTAAATTAGCAATTTTGGGCTGTGAAGTTCTCAAAAGCTGTTAAATAATTTTCGCGAAAAATGTTTGGCCCTGATAGTCCCACCTTTGGTCTACAATCTGATGTAAAAACCAAACTGGGACGTCTGCGGGCTCGTTGGCCATTAGCGTTGCGCGCAGAGCCCTAAGCAGAAAAGGTTAGCTTTCGTATTATATTGTAAACGGAGAGGAAAAATAAAAAAATCATATCACCTGGGTAATTTTTCATGCAGAAAATTATGGTAATAAAATCTTTTATGACAATGACATGTGAGGGGGGAGGGGGAACGGGGTGTGTGTGTGTGTGTAAAAAGTTGAGTTATAAAAAAAGTCCATATATATATAATCTTGTGCTATCTGTGGCGGTAGAAACATTTCCAACTATTTCGAGCAATCCCCCCCTCCACCCGACGCCCCCTCTACTTTCTACACCATCCCACGTCTTTATCGCTTACATTTGTCTCAGAATTCGGGTTTCGTGCGAGTCCATTATGTTGTGTAAGTTACTATTTCTCTTGATAGACTTTTATAAGCACAGAGTCTTTTCGTTTGTGGAATTAAATTTGAGAAATGGTCTTCAAGATATATCACAATATGCTTCTGATCAATGTAAAATCCCTGTATAACTGTATTTACCAGAGAAATATTTTCAAGTATAAAGGAAAGACACTCTTTTTCAGAAGTTTCGTACCAAAATGCAAGATATTTTGCACTCGCATTTACTATTGAATCCTGAGAAGAAAACATCAAGCGTCGATATGTCCTATTCCGTCTACTACTAGCATTTTACATCAGTTGGATGGGCCCTGCGAACTCGCAAACACACAAATCCAATGAGCTGAAAGGCGAAAAAATTCATTGAAGATATGTGGACTCAATCACAGAAACCCCGAACTAAGCTGTCACCTGAGTATGTACAACAACAAATGCGTTCTGAACGAGGCAATGCAAACCATACGAAACTATTCCAACCGCATGAATATGCAACAATCAATCAAATCAAATACAGATTTCGAAAATTAGCAGTCAAATATGAAGTCACTGCCAAACAAGAGCTTCATGCAGAACTCATGGGTGTGGATGTGGGTGTGGGGGCTTGTTCCCTTGTGTTCAACTTCTCCTCATACACCCACACCCATGCCCATACCCTCAAATAAAAGACGTCCTGCATTTAAAACTAAAACAACAAATTCAAAGATTTTTGATGAGAATGAAGAACAAGAATATGAAAGTAACAAGCAATGTAATAAAACGTCATGGCCACTGCATCTTTTGTTTTTTCGTTTTTTTTTAGATTTTGAAAGTGAACATAATTTTGACGATGATGATGGTGATGAAAGTGAAGAGGAAGAACTTTCTAATCGTCTGATGACTGATGAATCAACAGAAGCTCAAGATGAACCTGACAACGGTGACGACACTAATATTCAAAACATACAACAGCATTATCATCGACAAAACAATAATAAACGTAAGCAAAATATATTTGTTATGAGAACTTCTCCTGTGAACTGAAATTCTTTATTTTCTTTTACAAAAATCTCATGTTTAAAAATACATAAAAAAATCTATCATGTTATAGACAGTTTCTTGAGCAGTCCGTCTCGAATTTAAACATAGTTTAAGCAATTCTTGAAAAAATAATATTTTAAATATTCTCAAAGAATTCTTTTGTCTATCTACAATGTTATTTTATTTTAGCAATGATTGTTGATAATAAGTCTAAAGTAAAAGCTAAAGAAAAAATGGTACATCAGCAGAGGAATTTTCAATCAGAATTTAATCAATTACGTACAGGTATGTTAATAGAAGGTTTTTATTAGATTATGTAAGGAGTGCCCTTTTTTATTTTCCTCCAAATATAGAATGAACTGCTGTTTAAAATAAAATCTATTTTATTTTCAGGCAAAACAGGCAAAATCTGATATTAATCATTATTCTCGTTTCCTTAACTTTTAGTAAAACTTCTTTAATCAAAAAATCATATATTTTCAGATGTTACGGATGCCATTTCTAAATTATCTGGTCGAATTGATGGTCATCATGACCAATTTCAAAGACAATTTAAGTCGTTTTCAAAAGCAATTCAACAAACAACAGTAACATTAATACAACTTTATCGACAGATGAGTTCCTTAACTGAATTGTTTTTCTTTTAGATTAATTCTACTTTAGAAAAGTTTCAACGTGATGGTGAAATATTTGATTCCATTGTTGTAAGTAAACTTCTTGTTTTTTTTTGTTTGAATTCTTTATTTCATATGTTAAGGAATACAATGGCCAAAATTTATTGGATATTCATGATGCTGGTGATTGCGGTCGATTTGCTCGTACAGTTCTTAAAAATTTGTTCACTTCAGCTGAAATGAGTCGATCAATTTTATATTCTTATTCAATTTATACTAAGCCAGGTCTTGATCCAGTTCGTATGAAAAGTTTAAATGTAAGTCTATAGTTTTCTTCATACCTAACTAAACAATATATGTCTTCTTTTTTCTTATATAATGTTCATTGATGATACTTTTTATCTCATTTTTGTTTTAGATGCAATACGAGCTCGATTTCGCATCAGTGAATCATACTGGAATGAATTTTTTAAATGTTGTCTTCAACGAACATTAACTCAATTTTTGTGTGATGTGCGACGCAAATACGAACGTGAACAACAACAAACGCATCAAGTTCAACAGCAAGAAAATGATTCATCAGAAAATGACTATTAAAATAGTAGCTTTTATAGTAATTTGTTTTATACATGTATATATGTATCCTAAGCTATTCTAATTACTCATATATGTATTAATAAAACAGATTTGAAATGAAGGTAAATCAGTCCCTTGAAAGAGCTCAATATAGGGTGCCGAAGAATGCAAAAATATCAATTACTAAAAATCAATGCAATTCAAGGAAGTGTGCACTTAATTTAAATAATGTTTTATTTTATATTGGATGATATTATCGACCAAACCAAACAAAACTAAGTATTTTATTTACATTGTCTATGTATTTTTATCTTAGATAATATCGACGATTAGGCCAAATAAAGTGAGTATTCATTTTATTTAGATTTTATTTTTTTTAATTTTAGATGACATCCACGCTCGACGCAAAAAAATTAGCATTTATTCAATTTAAATTGTTTTCTTTTTTTGAAGAAAATATCAATGCTTTGTTCATCTAAAGTGAGTGCTTATTTAATTTTAATTCTTGTTTTTATCTTAGATGATATCGACCATCAATTCAAATAAAGTGTATATTTTTTTTATTGTAAATATATTCTTTTATTTTAGATAATATCAAGCATTAGAAAAAATAAAGTAAGCATTTATTTAACTTCAATTGTTTTTTTTCCTTAGATAATATGAACGATTAGACCAAATAAAGTGAGTATTCATTTAATTTAGATTGTCTTTATTTTTATTTTAAATGATGTCAACGATCAATGCAAAAATTAAGTGTTTATGTAATTTAAATTCTCTGTTTCTTTTTATTTTAGATGATATTGACGATTAGACGAAACAAGGAAATTGTTTATTTACTTTTAATTGTTTTTTTTTACACGATACTGATGCTTTATACAAATGGAGTGAGTATTTATTTTTAATTATCTATTCTTTTTTATTTTATATACTATTGACGATAAGACCAAACAAAATAGCTATTTATTTATTGTAAATTGTTTTTTATTTTACATGATATCAATGCTGTATCGAAATTAAGTGAGTATTTATTTTATTTAAATTATCTAATTACCTGTATTTTAGATTGTGTCGACGATTAGATGAATCAAAGTAAGGATTTATTTGATAAAGAATTTCATTTGATGCATTTATATGTGCATAGGTGCATCAAATGAAATGAATAATTAAATTTAACTTTAATTATTTTATTTGATGCTTTCAGTGAATTTAAGATTATAAAACAACTCTTAAAATTGAAAGGCATATAAGACAAAAGAGGAGAAAATGAGTTGTATGCCTTTGTATGCAACTCTGAAAAATCATACATGGATCTTACAAGATTATATAAGATCTAACACTCAGATCATATAGAATCGTACAGTATGATTGTGTCAGAAAAGTCGGCTTTAAGGTGAACATATAGAATCTTACAAGATCGTACATGATTTTCATATGATCTTGTATGATCATGGAAGAGGGTGTGGGTGTGGGGAGTGGGGTGTGGGTGTGGGTGGGTGGGTGTGGGTGTGGGGGCCAGTAAAAAGAGAAATGATACCCACACCCCCACACCCACACCCACACGCTCACCCACCCACACCCACACCCACACGCACACCCACCCACACCTACACACCCACATCCACCCACACCCACACCCACACCCATAAACAAATGATAGGATATATACATCCCTGACCATCTTTTTTTTCTCATTTCACTTAAAAAAAACAGAGATGAACACACGGTCAAATATTTTCGCTGCAACTTTGATACCCGACTCTGAAAATGATCGGGTTATTATGATTTTAGAAAATCAACATATTCTTT